ACCTTTCCTCTGAAGTTGTAAATCTCTTCTTTTGTATGATATATTCATTAAATACTTAAACGCTCGCAATGCACAAAATCCAACCTAATACATAAAATCCCTGACAACATTGAGTAAACAAACAACATAAATTTGTCTAGCAACCAGGGAAGCAATCTAGTAATAAGTATTTCTTAAGTATTTTTAAGTATTTATAGGTATCTAAGATATCAATTAGAACTTTATAAGAGAAAAACAAAGTTTAGAGTGGGTTGCCCCTAGCCAAGACCCAACTAACATGTTCAGCTTATAAGCCAACTTTTCCAGCGTTGTGCTGTAAAGTAGCTGAAATAAAGCTTCCGATACAGCTACAAGCAGAAGCTAGCAAAATAGTTTTGGAGAGCGTTTACTCAACTTTTTCACAACCATTATTCAATTTGTCAGTCGCACTGAATAACATCACCCAACAAACGTTAATGTCACTTTTATGCAAATATTAATCAACTTTCAACTTTTAGCTTCAAAACAAAGCTAATAAAGCGAGCATATTACTTATTTGATGGCTCCTACAGAACCAACCACTCTTGCTGAATAACATAAACATCAAAAGTGCTTTTTCAACAACTGAACAACCTGTACTCAACTAATTAACTGTGTTAGCGCTACTTTGGAAGCTATTTTACTGGCAACTAGGTTTATTTTCAAACGTGTGTTTTTACTCTGCTTCTTTACAAAGCTAAATAGCTAGTCGAGAATAGTGATTCATGTGCACTATTATAAAGCCGCTACTCAGCGATCTTGTTGTAGAAGGGCATTAAAATTTGTTTACGTTAGTTCAAAGTGTTGGCGTAGTAAAGTTGGTAGTATCAAGGTTCGCCAATGCGGTCGTCTCGAGTTCGATTCCAGGTTCGGGTACATTGTAAATAATATGGTGGTGTTGCTTATAACTAAGTTCGATTAATGTGATTTGCAGTATAATAAACATGATAAATTCCTCCACTAAAAAAAAGCGTAAACGTTATTTAACCTGGCGTCAAGAGAAAGCTGTGTAGAGATTATTGGATAATCGGGTAAAGATGGAGTAAGCGCCTTTCAAGTTCACACACAACTAAACAGTAGGATAACAGCTGTATAGAAGCGTAAATATATATGCAATAAGAGCTTGTCCCAACCGTCCCAACAGCCATAAGTAGCTGACTAAGTACGCCAGATTTGCTTGTATAGAGGTTGAGTAAAGGTTTCCTCATATCGTATAACAATTGAATACAGCTTGAGGCTGTATAAATTAAATGAGTAAAGCGTTTACATTGAGAAAATTGTTAGTTGGGGAGTAAGTGACGTATGAAGGAGCCGTATTTAAAAAAAAAAAACAAACATTTGTGTAGAACATACTAAGTTCAAAAAATTGCTTCCTAAAAAGTTATTTGCAAAAAATGATTTTCATAAGGCTCTTACCAAAAAACTGACATATCTCTGTAAACATAAGAGGTAGAGGGTTGACGTCTTGAGCAAAAATGTTTGTTTTAATATTGTCTAAAACTTTGCTCAAGACACCATTTTGCTGTCTCGACAAACAAAAAAACTAAATTTTTCATCTCCTTGCTAGGTGAATTAATCATAAAATGACTATCCTCAAAAGAAGGGGCTTTTTAAGTGCACAAACTTCTCCCAAGAAACTACATATGGCTTAAATGGACCGTTTTCGCATAAACTAAAAAACGTTTTGGCACTTTTAGACCATTGTGCGGCGGTTACCTCACCGACGACGATAACAACTATTCTTAAGAAGGATTTGTTATAGATTTCCGATTAACACGTCTTTCCTGCTCAAATAACCTCCATTATTTAGCAAATTGATTCTTTACTTAAATTGTGGATTAATTAAATATGCAAAGTTGAGTTCAATTATTCCATGCAATTAAAATATTCATGTATAGTTTAAAGAAATTGAGTGACTAAAATCGAGGTTGTTTGTATTTTGTTATATTTTATTAACTATATATCGACGAGATGGATCCGGAATGTTGACGTCTGTGTTTTAAGGAGATACCTGCGATGGGTCGAAGAAAGTCTACGAGGAGGCCAGTTGCTGTTGGTGCAGCTCCACTTGGTTATTTGAGTGTTATTTATTTATACAGTAACCCCTCCTTATCGTTAGGACGTCAATTCAGCTTATCGTTTACCAAAACAAACCCTGCTGCAAACCCTACCCTCTTATCCAACATCCTAGTGATTCCTCGTGGAAGTGCAAAGGATTTCTCGGCTTCCATCAAAGCGAGTGTCACGTCAACACATTCCTACCCATTCCTTCCTTGACCTGCGTTCGGGCGCGGCTGGCGCTGGTATTGTCTAGTTTGAGATCACCAGTTTTTACACATTGAGGATGATTGCTGGTCCCAAGCATCGTCTATTGGTTCTCTGTGTAAATACAGCTGATCTGGCAATAACAGCAATAGCAGCAGTAGGAACAAGCAACAATTGACTAGCCGTGGCAAAGGAAGAAAAGGCCTTGGTTAAAGAGGCGCCAAGCGTCATCGCAAAGTTCTTCGAGATAACCGCCATCGGTCGTCTGGCTCACCGTGGCGGTGTCTGACGTATATCCGGTCTGATCTACGAGGTGTGTTGAAGGTGTTCCTGGAAAATGAGGTCCGTGATGCTGTCACCTACACTAAACACGCCAAGCGTAAGGGGCCATGGATGTCCTCTTCTATAAAACGGCCCTTTCCTAACCAGTTCAATCATGCTCATGCTCATGCTATTAAGAAAAAAGTAGAAGGGTCTGTGCCTAGGGGCACGAACGGAAGCTTGACGAAGGACCGCTAGTGGACGGAATAAATGTGAAGAGCATTTAGTTCTTTTAATTGATCAATTATCTATTATCTCAACTCTTTCCGTTTTTGAATTGTAGGCGTACCAAATTTGTAGTACTTGTTTTCAAAGAGAAAGTTGATTAAGAGAATCAATCAAAATCAAGATTACAACTCTGGAGAGCATTTTGTGTGGTCGTTGGGGGCTTGTGGTTCTGAATATGGACAAACAAGGACAAGCACAGATAAATTGAATTCCAACTCTTTACTGATGTAAGCTTGATGGCCCTGAAAAGGGCCGTTTTATTGAAGAGGACATCCATGGCCCCTTACGCTTGGCGTGTTTAGTGTAGGTGACAGCATCACGGACCTCATTTTCCAGGAACACCTTCAACACACCTCGTAGATCAGACCGGATATACGTCAGACACCGCCACGGTGAGCCAGACGACCGATGGCGGTTATCTCGAAGAACTTTGCGATGACGCTTGGGCCTCTTTAACCAAGGCCTTTTCTTCCTTTGCCACGCCAGTCAATTGTTGCTTGTTCCTACTGCTGCTATTGCTGTTCACCATGCCGTCCGGAGCGAAAATGAGCTAATGCCATAGTAGTAGTAGTAAAATTATGTTTATTTCTGTTGATTATGGTAGTACATTGATTTATCATATTAATTGATTAGCCTATCTGGCTCTTCATCTTTGTTTAATTTGATATTCTAATTTAATATTTGCGTTTTTCAACTAGTTTACAGAATACCCCTTTGGGGCTGTGTTTTATTTGAATTGAAAAAAGTGATAACCTACCTAACTACGAGTATAACTTAACCTAACGTGCTAGATCACGTATGATCTGATGATTTGATCTCAGACAGGTGTCTCTGAACCTTTCCAGGATGAATACTCTCCGTTCTTCTAATGTCTGAATTCCAGCCAGGAGGTGGATCTCAGAATTTCTAGTCCGCGGGGGACTGTTTAGGAACATCCTAAGGATCTTGTTTTGGATCCTTTGGAGTTTAAGGTGATGGCATTTTGCGCAACTCTCCCAGATTGGCAAACCGTACTCGATTACAGGAAGGATGATTTGTTTGAAGACAACAAGCTTATTTTTCAGGACAGGGTTGACTTCCTGTTGATAAGTGGATACAACGATCTTATCAAGATGTTGCACTTGGTTTTCGTTTTGTCAACGTGCTCCCTGGAAAGAAGCTTGCTGTCTAGTGTAAGCCCGAGGTACACGACCTCTTTGGACAATTCCACCGTTAAACATCATTAGTAGGGACCTGATGGCATGTCAAATACGTCGAAAATTTACGAGTCAAACCACATTGATTCAAGAGGACATCTAGATCTCAACTTGAGGACATTTTGTAGATCTTAAGATATTACATGACTTCAAAAATATCTTGAAGCTAACAACTCATACCCATACTATCATACATCAAGACAAAAATGCATAAAAAGCACGAAAATATTTTTGGCCACCTTCATGTATGGAGATTCTCCACTGTGCGACCCCAGGGAGGCAACTCCCACACCTGGACCCTACCTATCGGCCCATCAATTCATGAACCGGGGACCAACGGCTTTACTTCCCTTCCGAAGGAAGGCGTTATCAGAGATGTTATGCCTCAGTACATCCAGGCGGCGCCGACTGGGATTGAACCCAGGCCTGGTGGGGTGAGAAGTAATCACGCTTACCACTACACCACCTGCGCTGCTACCCTCGCCTACTAGGCAAACAAAATAACCAAAGTAACATTGAAGCATCCATCATTCTAAACTGTACATTGCATTTTTTTTTAGCAATGATTAATTTTAAAAAAATCCCCAAAAACCTGGAAATTTTCCTTTGAAGTCTTGGGAAAACCTGTAAAGCTATAGCAAAATAAGTAGACACCCTGCTCCAATAATTTGTGGATGACCCATTACACACATAACTGTCCCATGTTTTATGCAATCCTAGTGGATCATGGGACATTTATGCGTGTAACTACAGCTCAGTTAATCGAAAAGAATGAAAGCACCTAGGAAAGCACATTCCAAGTACATACTAATTGTTTCGGTCCTTCTATACTAATATACTACTTTAGACTAATATACGGTTTTCGGATACTTTTAATAAACAGTGTATAATACAATATTGCATGGTTTAATGTACATACTAGAGAGAGCAACAACTACATTGGTTTACGATTACAATCTAACTACTTAAATCTTACCATCCCACAGGAATCTTCATTTCCCGAATCATATTATCGAGCAGTTGGATCAACGGTTCAAAATACCGAAACATAGCATCGGAGGATATTTCCTCCGATCCAGTCAGTATCTTCAACACTATTGACCAATGCTGTGAGCCGCCCAACCTAAGTGCCTTCGCCAACAGCCTTCCGGCTCGCTTCGAACCGTACAGATCGCACCGGTGCAGTGGCATGGGTAGCTCATTTGGCGAGTCAACACTTCCAAAAATCGACTTCCTACAGAGGCCTTCCAAAATTTGGAAACTTAAAAAGTTGGCCAAAAAGTACCGCACATAGGGCGTATTATCGGGTAAATGGTACTTGGCGGCGGCATCGAAGAGATCCGTTCGGTCCATTTCGGTTGGAGGTTTGATACCCTGCTCGCTTTCCAGCAGATGCCAAAAGTAGTTATTGGCGTCGGCTTCAAAGTTAATGGAACCTTCGAACAGAGCCCACCGGTAGCGGTCCATAATGTAGGAAAACGGTATGGAAGAGATTTTCACCAGGGCCGTTTTGAGGAGAAGGGCATAATCGAACGAATTTAGGTGCTGGTAGTTTTCCGGGGCCAGAAATGATGAGTTTAGGAGATTTATTCTGGTTAGGTGCAGTGGGTTTATGGCAGACAGGTAGATCGTATCTCCGATACTTTCCTGGAAAGCTGAATTGGTTCCATCCTGAAAACGTAAAAAAAGATACATGATTTGTGGGTAACAGATACACATCAACGGCATACCTGGAAGATGGTTGACTGATTAGAAGTCAACATGTAGTACACGATGTGTCCCATTTCGTGCATGATGACGTAAAAATCGCTCATTGAGTTTCCTGCGCAGACGACCATTCTGTAGAATGAAGAAACAATAATTAGGAACTGGCAAAAACGTTCTATAGCTACACGACAAGATTACATTCGACTATTCATCGAATAATCAGTGAGTTCCCTGAATAGCCCTTCATATCCCATATTCCCACTCAATTGACCACTGCAAGATTTTACAATACAGTAAGGCTATTATTCCACTTCTGAAATTGACGGATATGCGTAAATTTCTTTTTTTTTATTAGAACTCGAATATTCCAATGCAAGAAACTCTATACAACTCGACAATCCCATACAAAATCGCTATTACAGTTACACGGTACTCAGTTATCAGTTCACACTCTTCAATATTTAATGTGTCACATTTAACCTATCTTAATTTCTTTATGCTCTTCACCTTTATTTTTGTTTTACTCGCATCTGATTCCTTTTTTCTCACATCCCATTGTTCAATCTTCATTTCTCAATTCAAATATTCTCGTAACTTCTCAACATGTCGAGTTTGGCTCCTCCCTTCTCTTCACTATGCATAATTTGAAGATCTTCTCTTAACCCTCCGTTACTCGCTCTGTTGTACTTTGTGCAACACACATGAGTTTTCCATTGCCATTTTGTTGCTGAGTTACCAATTGATCTGAAACCAACGAGTATTCCTCAAAAAACTTGTTTTAATCTAAACAAGCTAAACTTTGATTACAGTAAACACCTAAAAAATGCGGATAGTAGGGAAAATGTAAATGGAAACCGCGTAAACTGTGACCATGCTACGTGGGAGTTGGCTTAATTGAGTGCAACATGGAATACATCGAGATCCTGACCGGATAGAAAATTACTGTCTTGCGCAAAGTTGTTCAGGAGATTATAGCCTTGTCGCTGGTGGACAGTAGTTCAGAATTTTCTCACTACGTAGCGCTAGCATACATGTGAAATTCTTGCATGTGATATGTCTCGAGATCCTGACCAGATAGAAAGTTACTGTCTTTTACAAAGTTTTTCAGGAGGTCAAAGCCTATTGCTTGGTGCTCAATAGTTCAGAATTTTCTAACTACACGACGCTAGTATACACATGAAATTCTCATATAAAATATCTCGAGTTCCCAACCAGATAGAAAGGTAATGTCTTCGACATAGCTGTTCAGGAGATCAAGGTCTTTTTGCAGGTGAACAGTAGTTCAGAGTTTTCTCACTTCGCGGCGCTACTATACATGTGAAATTCTCGCATATAAAATATCTCTAGATCCAGATAGAAAGTAAATGTATTCGGCATAGTTTTTCAGGAAGTCAAGATCTCTTTTGTTGGGTGACAATAGTTCAGAATTTTCTCACTATGCGGCGCTAGTATATACGTGCCTTTCTCGCATATTCAGCTCGAGATCTTGATCAGCTAGAAAGTTGCTGTCTTCAGCAAAGTTGTTTAGGAGGTCAAGACTTTTTGGCTGGTAGACAGTAGTTAAGAATTTTCTCCCCACGTGGCAAATTTTTCGTTGAGATCCAGCAAAATAAAATATCGAACTGCTCGGTGGTGCCCATCTGGGCAAAAAATCTAAGTGTGTAGGTACATCCAAAGTCATAAATAAAAGGCCTGATAATATGAAATTATCATCTCTTTCATTACCGTTATTCCTAGGCTGCTAGGAGTGTGACGTCGAATTTATGGTTACATACACCTTATCCTAAATCTAAACGAGAAGAATCTACTCAATTCATCTAAAATGTGTAATGTAATTTTACATAAAATATATACACACAAGTTGGCCAGTCGAGCCATAGGACTATCTCAGTCGTGAGATTGTTTTACTCAGAAATATCCAAAATCGTAGTTCACTCAGCGCTGAGTAACCTACACTCCCGATCATAAGCTTAAATATACTCCCAAAATATATGCAAATGTGTTTTGTTCAAAGCTCTCTCATTTTTTGAAAATCATATTAAGCAATTTGCTTCTTCGTATTTCCATTCAAAATCTTTCAAATGTTCTAAAAAAATTGGACGTAAAATGACAAAGATATGAACAGAACACATTTGCATGTTTTTTGGAGGTGTCCTTAAACATATAATCGGGAGTGTACGGTTTTATAAATTTCTCCATTCAACTGAGCAAAAGTGCCTCACTCTCTGAGTTAGTCTCGTTGCCCGTGCACACGTAAATAGAGGGATTTATTTGTTCTAGACCCCTCTATAAGACATTTTGAAATTAGCCTAAAATGAAAGGGAGACTCTAAACATTCATTTGGTGGAAGTTTCTGCGATATTGATCTTTTAAGATAATGTTTTCCATCTGAGATACGTGTAAACACTATTTTATCAGAAGTATACAAGTGGAACGAATCACCCCAATTTATGTATCCACAAATCTGCATGAAAATCTTCACCAGTAAATGAAATCCAGAATATATTTGTTAGAATGATGTAAATTGTATTTTTATTTTATGATATTTGATATGCGAGAATCGCCCGCCAAGTTTTGAGAAATTTCTGAACTACTTTTCATCAGTCAAAAGATCTTTATCTCCTTAACAGCTTTACAAAAAACAGTCAATTTCTAGCTGTTCAGGATCTCAAGATATTATAAACGAAGATTTCACGTATATCTTAGCGCCGCGTAGTGAGAAAATTCTGTACTGTCGACCAACGAAAAACTTTGCCGATGACAGTTTAGCAGGTCTCGAAATATATCTAATGCGAGAATTGCCCGTGTATACAAGCGCAAATACAATGATGTGAAAAAAAAATGAATTTCTGTACACCAGCTAAAAGGCCTTGGCGCCCTGAACAACTTTGCCCAAGACAGTAACATTCTATTTGGTCAGGATCTCGTTATATTTTATATGGGAATATTTCACGTGTATACTAGCGCCGCTTAGGAAATTCTCAACTATTGTACACCACGCAATAGACTTTGACCTCCTGAACAACTTTGTCGAAGACAGTAACTTTCTATCTGGTCAGGATCTCGATACAAACCAAATGCGAGAATTTCACGTGTATACTAGCGCTACGTAGTGAGAAAATTTTGAACTACTTTTCACTATCAAAAAAGTTATGACCTCTTGAACAATGTTGTCGACGACAGTAACTTTCTATCTGATCAGAATCTCGAGATATTTTACATGCGAGAATTTCACGTGTATACTAACGCCACGTAGTGTGAAAATTCTGAACTATTGTGCACCAAGCAATAGGCATTGACCTCATGAACAACTTTTTCCAAGACAGTAATTTTCTACCTGTTCAGGATCTCGAGCTATAGCATACGCGAGAATTGTATACGTTTACTAGCGCCACGTGGTGAGAAAATTTTGGGCTACTGTCCACCAGCCAAAAAGTCTTGACCCCTTGAACAAGTTTGCCTAAAACAGTAACTTTCTATCTGCTCAGGATCTCGAGCTATTGTATATGCGAGAATTGCATGTGTATACTAGCACCGCGTAGTGAGAGCATTCTGAACAACTGTCCACCAACGAAAAGATCTTGACTTCCTGAACAACTTTGCCAAAGACATTTACTCTCTATCTGGTCAGGATGTATCACATGCGAGAACTTAACATGTGTACGAGCGCTACCTAGTGAGAAGATTCTGAACTACTGTTCACCATCAGAAAGTTTATGATCTCCTGAACAGCTTTGCCGAAGACAGTAACTTTCTATCTGGTCAGAATCTAGAGATATTAAATATGATAATTTTACGTGTACACTAGCGCCACGTAGTGAGAAAATTTTGAACTCCAGATTGTTTGGGGGTAAAATGTGATAAAAGTTTAGCTTGTATAGTTAAAAACAAGTTTTTTAAGGAATACCCGTTGGTTTCATATCGATTGATAGCTCGGCTGCAAAATGGCAATGGAAAACTCACACTGTTGTACAAAGTACAACGCGCGAGCACTCGTGTTACAAAAGTTGGCGCGAGTAATGGGGGGTTACATACCGTCCACTCACTCTTTAAGCAACCTTACCTGTAATCTCCATCAGCAAACATATTCGCGGCCGTTCCATGGCACTTGGTAACATTCTTGCTCCGTTCGAAAACGCTCTTCTTCCAAAAAGTTTTCGTCATCATGGGCAGCCCCATCGATGAATAGACGTCCTCTGCCCGTTTGATAAGCTGTTCGCCAGTCCAGTTTCTTCGCCTAAAACTTTCCATGATATCAACCTGGTGTGGATAAATCAATGTTGCCAGCGATTCCCAATTCTGACTCCACATGTCACCGAGAATGTGCGCTGGAATCAATCCAGCGGGGTCAAAGTTGACCATCCGTGGATACTTTTGCTTGAGAAAATATCTTGCCACCGCATGTAACTTTTGGTACAGAGGTTTAACCTGCAACCATAGACGATTTGTCAGCTCTCGGAGGTTCGCCATTTCCAGCTCCGCTCGCCATGATGCTCCGATATCCGCATAACCCATCCTCCGGGCTCCAATGTTCATGTGATCGATCAATTTCCTGTACGGTTCCTTAGTAGGAGGCCCTACTGCTAACCTCCACGATTGCCACGCCCAACTATGCAGGTTCTCTTCATCAATGGTGCAATTTTCATTTTCGTCGCGTTGTGAAGTTGATTCTAGAAGAAATGGTTGCATTAATACGAAAGCAATGGAAATTCAATATCAGTACTTCCGGTCATAATTTGTTCCATTTCCGGTTCACCGTACAAACAAATTCGATCCTTATCCTCAGCATCGGATTGCATATTCGACGCAAGTTTTTGATGCTTCAAGGATGTCCTATCCCACAGCAAACCGTTACCCTTGCAGGGGTTATAGGCTTTATCTATGCAAACTTGTGTTCCGCTGTAGATTCCTTGCATAGAACCCAGCAATTTAGCGATAGTACTGAAACACTTCAATGAATTAACAAAACCAAATTTAACAATCTTCCATGTGGCACCTTATTTCCCCATCGCTGTACTGCGGCAACCGACAGAGAAGATGGAATGCCCTTTCCAAACTGCCATTGAAAGCTCTGTGCTGTTGCCCGCGGGTGCACATATTGCGCTCCCAGTGGGCTTTCCGCACCGTCAGCTGGATTATTTTCTCCACCGTTGCCGTCTGTGTAGCTAGGGTACTGGAAAATAACATGGAAAATATCAGCTAAAAAGGTGCTTCCGGCAATTATTGTGTGGCCAATGCGAATGAATGTGGGGTACAAGTTATCAATCTCACCTTGATTCCCAAGCGTACAGAGCTGCTTCATGGTTTAGTTGTTTTAATTCCACGTTCAGCTGGTGAAACCATTGAATGGCGGGGTGGTTAGATACTGATGGAAATTTCGATTCGGGATGAGATTGATTGAAAGTTAGTGGACATCTTAAACTTGAAATGGTTTCACATGTACAAAATATCATAATAACATCTAATGATTTCATAATTCCGAATAATACGTTTAATAGCGAAGTAAGTATGTATAGACCGGCAATCGGGCCAAACAGCCTGCATGCCGTATCGAACGACAACGGCCAACGATGCGTGAACTTTGCCTCTCGGGGTATGGTAGTTCGAAGTACGTTTTTCCCCCGCAAGGATATCCACAAAGTCACCTGGAGATCTCCAGACCAACACGCAGTGCGAACATAGATTCGGACCACTACCTAGTGAGGTGTTTGCAGCTAGCGTGTAGTGGTATAATAAACCATTCGAGTTAAACGTACACTAGAATGGGTTGTTTGTAGTTAGCGTGTTTCCGTTTAACGGAAACTCACACACATGGAAAAATGTGTAGTCGATTCCGCAGACGAAGGTCTGATCGAAAAGCAAAATAAACTCGAGGATGATTAGTATCTGACACCTCCAAGTAACAAGTCGTTTTTTTATTACCTCTTAAAATCACGGTTTCACTTTTAGTGTTTCAATTAGTAGTTCGGTGAAATAAATAAAAAGTCTATAGGTCCAACATACGGACTTTTCAGTTGGCGACGACGGAAAATAGGTTCAGTGGCAAGTGTTGAGAAGTGTTAAAGTGAAGGTGGAGTATAATTTTCGACCTAGTACGACGAACGCCATCAAGATAGAGCTTTTATTGCGATTCATCTGTCGGCTGCCGGTAGTTTGCTCTATTATCTTAATTATCTACAAAAAGCACTTCGATCCGGAGTGGTAAGTTTTTTTTTCGTCGGGAGATTTTGAAAACCAATTTCGGTGGGTTTGGCGTTTTACGGATCGCAGTGGCTTAATTTCGGCTTCATTTTGACCCGGTAATTGAAAGGCGCTTTGTGTTGACCTTCATTTTATTTTCGATGCGCAAATAATAAATTGAGGAATATAAAAGAAATTTTTCGCAGCGATAGCCTTTTATTTTCTTTTATTAAGAGTGTTTTCTTTTATTTAATAGATAGTGATAGTCGGCGGGATTCACCATCGCTGTACGTCGATTCAGTGGCACTTCTGGTGATTTTCAAGGCGCATCAATAGCTTCCGCATTTCCTCTCGTCGATCCTTCTTGGCCAGTTCCGGTCCAGGTAGTACCCAAATCTCGACGTCAACTGACGGCTTGCGTGGTTGCCAAAGGGTAAGACCGCGAGTAGCGAAACATTACTCTTATCCCCGGTCGGCAAAGGCTGAACAACATTTTGGTGAGTAATTTTTTTTTAACATTGGGAGGCCAGTTAGTGCATCCATTTGTAAGCAGACATTGTTTTATTGTAGAAGTGATTGCGCTATTTACCAGTGGAAAACATTTCTTTTTCACATTTAACATGGCTCAATCCACTTTTAGCACTACATTAGAACCTTTTCGCAAAGGCAATTCGTTTGGAGATTGGGTTGAACGTTTGGGTTTCTTTTTTAACATGAATAAAGTACCCGATGAAGAGAAGAGAGATCATTTTATTACGTTGAGTGGCCCTGTAATTTTCAGGGAACTAAAATTGTTGTACCCCAATGGTAATCTAGCCGAGATTCCTTATTCAGAAATGGTTGCCAAGTTGAAAGCAAGACTCGATAAAACCGAATCTGATCTTGTGCAACGTTTAAAGTTTAACGTTAAGGTGCAGCAACCGGATGAATCGTTAGAGGATTTCGTGTTGTCTGTGAAACTTCAAGCAGAATTCTGCAATTTTGAAAACTTTAAACAACTGGCTATTCGTGACCGTATTGTTGCTGGTATCCGGGACAAATCTCTTCAGCAAAGATTGCTCAATGAAGAGAAGCTAACGCTAGAGACTGCGGAAAAAATAATTACTACTTGGGAAATTGCCAGAAATAATGCAAAAAACATGGATCACAGCAACAGTGTGGACTTAATAGCGTCTTTGAAGGCTTCTGGTTTTCCTGGGGCCAGGCTAAATACATTGGCGGCCACAATGGAGTTAGCGAGGGCGAATGCCAATACAGAGGTTCCGCAAAACCGGGGACCGGTCAAAACTAGATTAGGTTATTCCCCTTATCACAAAAATCAATGGAAACAAAGGCAAGGGCAGAATATGCAATGGCGGAACCGAGGTCAAGACAAAGAGGAAAGAAATAGTCTTTTCAATCGCCTTAACTATTCACAAATGGTGTGCGATTTTTGTGGTGTCAAGGGGCACATTAAACGGAAGTGTTTTAAATTAAAAAATATGCATAGGGATGCTGTGAACATGATCAATCCGAATACTTCTGGATCCAACCCGGACGAGTTTTTGAGCGATATGGTCAACCGAATGCGAACGGATTCAGACAGTGAGAATGATGCGAATGGTGAGAAACATGTTCTTCAATGTATGCATGTGTCGTCTGTAGGGAAAATAAGTGAATCTTGTCTTTTGAGAGTAGCAATTGATAATGTTTTGTTTGATATGGAAGTGGATTGTGGTTCGTCTGTAACTGTTATGAGTAGAAAGCAATATTTTGATAATTTTTCAAAAGTTTTAACAAAGAGTCAAAAAAATTTGGTTGTTGTAAATGGCACGAACCTTGTGATAGAAGGAGAAGTAGATGTTTTGGTTAATTTAAGGGGATTTTCGGCAAATTTGAAGCTTTTGGTGCTAAATTGCGACAATAAATTTACCCCTTTATTGGGAAGAACATGGTTGGATGTATTTTTCCCGGATTGGAGAAACTTTTTTGTGAATTCTATTTTTTCTAGTTCTGAAACTGACCGCACAATAGTTAATGAAATCAAAAATAAGTTCAATGGTGTTTTTGTTAAAGATTTTTCTTCTCCAATCCAGGGTTTTGAGGCGGATTTGGTTTTGAAATCTGAAGTCCCTATTTTTAAGAAAGCTTACGACGTACCGTACCGTTTACGGGAGAAAGTCGTTGAATATTTAACAAAATTGGAAAATGAAAAGGTGATAACACCAGTAAAGACGAGTGAATGGGCTTCTCCTGTGATTGTGGTAATGAAGAAGAACAATGATATAAGGCTAGTAATAGATTGCAAGGTTTCGGTTAACAAGTTTATCATTTCAAATACTTATCCGTTGCCCACAGCTCAAGACGTGTTTGCTGGTTTGGCTGGGTGTAAGATTTTTTGTTCATTGGATCTTGAAGGTGCTTACACTCAGTTGTCATTGTCAGAAAGATCTAAACAGTTTATGGTAATAAATACTATAAAAGGACTGTACGTATACAACCGGTTACCGCAAGGGGCATCATCAAGTGCTTCGATTTTTCAGCAGGTAATGGACCAGGTTCTAAATGGAATTGAACATGTTACGGTATATTTGGATGACGTTTTGATCGCAGGAAAGGACTTAAATGATTGCAAGAAAAAGCTATTTATAGTGCTTGAAAGACTTCAGAAAGCTAACATCAAAGTAAATTGGAACAAATGTAGATTTTTTGTCTCAGAATTGGTCCATCTAGGACATGTTATTAGTGATAAAGGTTTGATGCCATGTTCAGACAAGATTTCTACAATTGAAAAAGCGAAAGTGCCTCGAAATGAGACGGAACTGAAGTCCTTTCTAGGATTGATCAATTATTATCATAAATTCATTCCTAATTTGTCGTCAAAGCTTTATTATTTATATAATTTATTGAAAACAGACGTTAAATTTAATTGGAATTACAACTGTGATAAAGCCTTTGAAGAAAGTAAAAAAGCACTAGTGGAGGCGAGGTTTTTAGAGTTTTATGACCCGAATAAACCAATAGTTATAGTTTCTGACGCTTCTGGATATGGATTAGGTGGAGTAATGGCACATTTGGTTGATGGAATTGAAAAACCAATCTATTTTACATCTTTTTCGCTGAATACAGCCCAACAAAAATATCCGATTCTTCATTTAGAAGCCCTAGCTTTAGTTTGCACCGTGAAAAAGTTTCACAAATTTGTGTATGGAAAAAAGTTTTTTATTTACACAGACCACAAGCCATTAGTCGGAATTTTCGGTAAAGATGGAAGAAATTCAATTTACGCTACAAGATTGCAGAGATTTGTGCTAGAACTGTCGATTTATGATTTCGAGATTCAGTATAGACCCTCAAAACACTTAGGAAACGCTGATTTTTGCTCACGTTTCCCTTTGGATCAAGCGGTACCTGTTGAATGCGATAAAGAATTAATCAATAGTATTAATTTTAGTAGGGAATTCCCTATTGATTTCGCAGTGATAGCTAGTAAAACTAAGGAGGATGAATTTTTGCAAAATGTTATTTCTTTCATAACTAATGGTTGGCCAGATAAAGTAAACAAGCAATACATTGATGTGTACGCTAATCAACAGGATTTAGAATTAGTAGATGAATGTCTACTATACCAAAATAGAGTAGTAATACCTGTAGCAATGAAAAATCGAGTTTTAAAGCTTTTGCATGCTAACCATGCAGGAATAGTTAAAATGAAGCGACTAGCTAGACAAAGCGTGTATTGGTTCGGCATTAACTCAGATATTGAGGGTTATGTGACAGCTTGCGAAACATGCAATAGTATGATGATAGTTTCAAAATTTAAAACTGAGTCTAAATGGATACCAACGACGAGACCTTTTAGCAGAATTCATATAGATTTTTTTTATTTTGAGCACCGTACATATTTGTTAGTAGTTGACAGTTACTCTAAATGGGTTGAAATTGAACTAATGCGGAATGGCACAGATTGTGGTAAAGTTTTAAAGAAATTGGTGGCTTTATTTGCTAGGTACGGATTACCAGATGTTTTGGTATCAGACGGGGGTCCTCCATTCAATGCACATGCCTTTATGGACTTTTTGAAGCGGCAGGGAATCAATGTTCTAAAGAGTCCGCCATATAATCCTTCCAGCAATGGGCAGGCAGAAAGGTTGGTGAGAACTGTAAAAGATGTG